GAGCCTCCGGGAGCCCCGCCGCCGCCGCCCGCCGTCACCTACCCGGACTGGATCGGCCAGAGTTACTCCGAGGTGATGAGTCTCAACGAGCACTCCATGCAGGCGCTGTCCTGGCGCAAGCTCTATTTGAGCCGCGCCAAGCTCAAAGCCTCCAGCCGGACCTCGGCTCTGCTCTCCGGCTTCGCCATGGTGAGCTCGGGCCACCTTGCCCTCCCCTTTCTGCTGTCCCGGCTGCTCCCTCCCGCAGCCCCGACGGGGCCCACTGGGGAGCGAGCTGGGCGAGCCGGGCGGGCCGGGGTGAGGGGAAGAGCTGTGAGAAGCCGTCGTGAGCGCTGCGCAAGGGGCAGAGGTGCTGCTGGACGTGAGCACTAGTGGGCGCCGAGTACTCCGATCTGGGGTGGTGACAAGCCATACCAGAGTCCGGGCTTTGGGGGCTTGGGTGCCTCCACATGGACTTGCCTGCCCCAGCAAGAGTGGTAGATGCATCCCGAAGTTAGCTCTGTAAGAAGCCCGCCCCACGTGCGTTCAGTGGGGAAAGAAGGGACTCAAAAACTAACCCAGCTGGGGGCGTCAGGAGGTGGGGACGAGGACCAAGACCTTGAGCTGTCTTGTGCCCCCGCACCCGAGGCCGGAAGGTGTTAGCTCTGTTCTTTTATCAACTCGTAGAGGGGATTTCCTGACACCCCTTTTCCACCGCATTTTCCGAGAGCCTCAGCCTGGGGGTTTGACGACCAGTCCGCACCCTCAGTTTTTCCTCCAGAAACTTGCCACTGAGTCACTGAGTGTGAGGGAGGAGAGAGGGACGTGTTCCCGTTGAATGGGCTCTTTCTTTTTTAGTTTTTCTTTTTTCCAAGACGGAGTCTCTCTCTGTCGCCCAGGCTGGAGTGCAGTGGTGCAGTCCCGGCTCACTGAAACCTCCACCTCCCGGGTTCAAGCGATTCTCATGCCTCAGCCTCCTGAGTAGCTGGGATTACAGACACCACGCCCGGCTAATTTTTGTATTCTTAGTAGAGACAGGGTTTCACCGTGTTGGCCAGGCTGGTCTTGAACTCTTGATCTCATGATCTGCCCACCTTGGCCTCCCAAAGTGCTGTGATTACAGGCGTGAGCCACCTCCCCTGGCCCAATGGGCTCTTTCTTGATCTAGGGGATAGGCTTGCTTTCCTTTCCCCACCATCCTAAGGAGCTGGAGTGGGAAGCCTCTGAGGTGTGGAGTGGGTGAGGCTGCCGATGGGCCTGAGAAGTGGCTCTGGGGATACCCTCAGGCTTGGCATATTGAAGTTTCTCCGGAAGCAGGGGACTACATAATAACTACATTATTACCACTTTCGGTGATATCAGCCTTTGTGAATGGACTCTGCCCCCGCCCCCCAGTTCTGTAGACCAGAGCACTCCTGCCCCCGCCACCAGTGAGCTAAGCCCTTGGCCTTGAGGGAGGGAGTGGCTGCACCCTTCGTGTTTTCTTGGGAAGGGAGTATGTCTGGAACTCTTCCCTGCTTTGCCTTGCAGCAGAGCCTGAATTTTTTAAGGCCCAGAGCGTGCTGGGCCACATGGAAAGGCCAGAAGATGGGGAGTGGGCAGCAGCCCTCCCTGCTCAGCTACTTGCTGCCTGTGTGACCTCAAGCAACTCACTCTCCCTGTCTGGGCCTCAATTCCTGAATCGATCAAAGAAGGCTGCTACTCCAGAGTTTCTGTTTGGGAATAAAATTGAGGGAGCCCCTGAGAGGAGATCAGGGAGTGTGTGTGTATAGACAGCACTCTGAGTTTTAGTTTAGACAGCATGGAATTCTGCTCTGTTAGTTTCAAATCCTGAGAGACCAGGTTCTGCCTCCTGCCTGAAGAATCTCTAAAAGCAGCCGGCATTTACTAAACACTCACTCAGTGCTAGGTGCCTTATCTCCTGGGCTTACTCCTCAGCAACCCTCTGTGATGGTTTTGTCAAAGGGCTTTCCCAAGACCGCACAGCCAGTCCCGTGGAGCAGGATTTGAACCCGGGTCTGTTAGTGTTCAGAACTTGCTCAGGCACTTGTACCCATTGCGGTGTATAGGAACTCTGATTGATGTCCAGCCAGGGACATGTTAAGACAGGCCTAGGAAATGAAAAATAGGGCAAAAGAGTTTCTTTTAAGCCAAAGAAAGTTTTATAATTGGTGGTGGGCGGGGAGCTACCAGCTGTCAGCTTTTCCCTGCATCCCTCCGGGTTTAAGATAATGGTTCCCCCTTTTCTTGTGGTCATGAGTTTATAGCTGCCCCAAGCTCCTTCTCACTCCTGAGGGGTGAGATCCAGATGAATGACATTTTCCTGCCTTCTCAAGTCCCCTCTTCCTTTCAAAGACAGGCCTCAGGCCTCATGGTCAAATGTCACCTCCTTCCTCTTGCTAAAAACAGTGTGAGGAAGTCAGGAGACTGGGGCAGCCAATGGCTTGGAGTGGGCTTTGGCCCACCCTGTCTGTCTCTTGGGGACTTTTCTTTTCCCCTTCCTGGGTGGAGAAGGCTTGCCGACTCTGCTGATGGAATCCCCAAAGTTCTGCAGTCAGGGAAGGACCAAACCCCAGGATACTCTCCATTCTGCCGTTACAAGAGGGTAACTGCATGTGCCATGAAGCTGGAAATCTATAGGAGGGATGGGATTGGGTGCAGGGTCTGACCATGCCCCACTCCCACTTAGACACCCAGCCTGTAAGTGAGCTTCAGAGAGGAGAGGGTGCCAGCAGCCCCAACGCCATGGTAACAGAGCGACAAGTTTCCTGAATTACTCTCCCTTGGCCTGTGAGTCAGCATAACTAACTTCCTGCCCCCAGAGAGCTTCCTTCCCAGAGACCTGGAAAGTCAAGGGATGGGGTCACCAGGTGAGATTGAGGGAGGGTCTCCCACAAAGCCTGGAGGGGATTGAGAGGTTCCCCACTTCACAGGTAGAAGGGCCTGGCCAGGTGGCCAGGAAGTGTTGGGGATGGCCGGTGAGTGACCTCAGGCAAGAGGCTTTACCTCTTTGAGGCCAGTTTTTTTTTTTTTTTTTTTTTTTCCTTTGAGACAGAGTTTCCTCTTTGTTGCCCAGGCTGGAGTGCAGTGATGCGATCTCGGCTCACTGCAACCTCCGCCTCCTGGGTTCATGCGATTCTCCTGTCCCAGCCTCCTGAGTAGCTGGGATTACAGGCACATGCCACCTCACCCGGCCTCTCATTTTTGTATTTTTAGTAGAGACGGGGTTTCACCATGTTGGCCAGGCTGGTCTCAAACTCCTGACCTCAGGTGATCCACCTGCCTTGGCGTCCCAAAGTGCTGGGATTACAGGTGTGAGCCACCGTACCTGGCCAAAGCCAGTTTTTTTAATGTGTACGAAGATGGCACATATCCTGCTCTCCCATGGACTTGCATGAAGATTCATTTTGAGACCAGACCGGTCCCATGAAACACAGAGGAATTTTCAGGGTCTGATGACGCACACCTTGCCTGGACCCTCTCTGATCTGCAGATGAGATTCTTGCTCCAGACAGCATTTCTAGGAACGGCAAGCCTCAGGTGCGCCATCCTCCAAACTCTAACGAGAGATACAAAGCAAGGCGGCCTGGACGTAGTGTGGGATCAGCATCCTGTAGAGCTCCTCAAGCCCACAGTAGTCTTGTGGGCTTTGAATCACGCCCTCTGTGCCTCAGTTTACACTTCATTGAGAGGCAGCCAGCCTCAGCCTGACCGCGTCCCCTGCAGGACTGGTGAGCATATGTGGCGATCTCGTCTGCTGGGGAAGGCAGGCTGTAACATTAGCCTAAGCAGAAGATAATTGGGAAGGTCAGTCTGCTGCTGTAAACAAAATGCTTTCCATGACCTGGGATCAATTATTTTTGGATTATCTGCCTCCTCAGTTCTCTGCCTGCCAGCACCCTTTTGTTCCCACGTTCTAGAGCTGGTTCAGAAGTTGCCTGTAATTTCTATGAAAATGAGTTGGAAGGAAGGACTCAAATCATAAGACACTGAGCCTCTGTGACATGTTCCGAGTTCAGGGACCATGTAAATGAGCAAGAAATTGCTATTACTATTCTTAGTACTGATCACCGATAGTAATTATTATTGCTGTTGTTGATTGGGCTGTTGCCGTAGGCTAGATGGTGCCCCACGTAGCATGTTGTGTGATCTTCCTATAACCAGGTGAGTATAGGTGGTCACTGAGAGGAAAGATTTGCCCATGGTCACCTGGCTGGGAAGCTGCAGAGCCCTGTGGCTGTGGTGTAGCACCCTTGCTGTGGGAGAGGAAGCATCAGAGAGTGTAGGAGAACAGAGGTGAGAAGCTCAAGCAGAGCAAGGTCAGAACAGACACCTGAGCAAGACAAGTTGGTTCAGATCCCAGCTCTACCTCTTATAAGGGCAAGACCTTAGGTAAGTCATTTAACCTTTCTCGGTCTCAGTTTCCTCATCTTTAAAATGGAGTACAGCCGGGCACGTTGGCTCACACTTGTAATCCCAGCACTTTGGAAGGCCGAGGCGGGCGAATCACCTGAGGTCAGGAGTTGGAGACCAGCCTGGCCAATAAGGTGAAACCCCATCTCTACTAAAAATACAAAAATTAGCCGGGTGTGGTTGTGCATTCCTGTGATTCCAGCTACTCGGGAGGCTGAGGCAGGAGAATTGCTTCAACCCGGGAGGCAGAGGTTGCAATGAGTAGAGATCGCACCACTGCACTCCAGCCTGGGCAACAAACAGAGTAAGACTCCATCTCAAAAAAAGAAAAAAAATTGCAAAGCACTTAAAGTGTCTGACCCAAGTATCCCAGATACTTGCTTACCCTTTTTTCCATAGTGTTAGGGCTACTAAGGGTTAACTGAGTTAAAATAATCTGGTTCTTGCTGAGCCTTGAGTGTGGTGGAGTTAGGACTTGAGAAAGAGCCTTCAAGTCACAGGAAATGGCAGGAACAGTTAAAGATGAGAAATGACAGGGCCTAGGGGAAAGGTACAGGGGCTGTGGTTGGGGTTGAGGGTCTTCAGGAAGTAGTAGAGAACGGTGAATTTAGCCAGGCAAGATGATGGAGGGCCTTGATTGGGTGGGAAATTTGAACTCTTGGATCGGCAGCAGGGAGCCATTGAAGGTTTTAGACAGGAGTTACATGATGAATTCTATGATGGTGGTGGTGGTGGTTGTGGTTACTGTTTACTGAAATCCTGTCATGCCAGGCATGAGCCTGAACGCTTTTCTTTCATTCTTACTGAATCCTCACCATAGCTCTTAAAAGTAAGTACTGTAAACAGGAAAACGAAGGCTCCTAGAGGTTAAGATTCTCCAGCTAGTAGCATTCAAGCTCTGGTCTGTCTGGCTGGGAGCCATTTCCACTTTAC